ACAAGCCAAAGGATAAAAGTAAGAAAATACAAAGTAAAGCAGAGCGAGTTGAAAATTCTAAATTTGTTCAAAAATTAAGGCCAAAAACACTGGAAAAAACTCAGAGAAAGTGTAATAAATAGTCAAATGAGACAAGATGACGGTCAGCTAACTGCAGGGATCTCTCCCAGCTTAGCTTAAATTCACAGGAGATTTTAATAATATTAAAAAGGAGACAGTGAATGCACAGACCCCCTCCACCTTATGATATTGATGACAATATAAATGGGACAATCACACAACAAAATTCCCAAGCCAGGTCAATTACGAGTACAATATCACATGGATTGGGTGAAACTCGTATTCATTATAATGAAAATAAAGACAGAACACTGATAAAAACCAATGATGAACCAGGCATGCTTCCAAAATAATGCAGCACCGGGAGGAAACCATCCATACTAGACTGCTACAAAGATTTAAATATGATAAAAGCAGGACAGTCCTATTGGCTGAGCTTAGATCCAACTAGTGGTGACAGAAATCGTGCAAATCAGTATCCTATCTTAATAAAGGGGACCCAGGGGCATTACCTGCCGTGGCAGACGACCGATCTTGCAGGGCTTGTCTCAAGGCTGCCCGGCATCCACGAAGGATTAACCAAGTGGATAAGAGCGTTTGAGAAAGAAACTGTGGGAAAAATGTTGGCCCTAGGTGACTTTAAGGCTGTATGGGCTCGAAGCTTTGGAGCCCCTGCCATGGAAAACATTTTCAAATACAGCCGCAATAAGTGGATGCTAGAACCCAGAGCAGATGGACTTCAAAGCATATCATACCATGCTATGGACAGTGTTGCGAGGCGAATATCCCACGAGAGTAGATCCAAAGGCTCTCAGGGGGGAGACACTCTCAGAGATTGAGAACCCTGCCGCATATAGCTAAAACGCTGGAAGCAGGAGGAGATTGGAAAAAAGGCCAGTCTTGATGACGTTGTTCAGAAATGCCATTGTGGAAGCAATGCCAGGCACAGTCCAGACTAGACTAGAAGAGGTGGTAGGCCTGTCATCAATGCCACATCAACAATTTCGTGAGAATGTTGTGCACGCCGTAGAAAAATATCGAAGGGATGAAGAAAAATTAGACCAGATGGATAAAAACTTGCAGCGTAAACCTGACACAATTACAATTAAGCGAGCTACAAGGAACGAACAAAAGGTCACAAGTGATGGTAGTAAAAGAAAACCAAACATTTCAGATGACTGAACAACCACCTGTACAAGAGCGAGCACCAATGGAACAGCCACCAATTTTTACAACTTCGTGGGCAGAGGGGGCCGGGGCAGGCCAATGCATTGTGAAGCCAGAAGTCCGGCGGGCCTCTGGGAGAGACCCAATTTTGGATACTAGGGATGCTCAGAGAGTCCTACATTGGAGGGTCAGTTTCCAATGTTAGAAGTGGAAGCTAATGAGTAACTTAGGTTGCAGGTTCAAATTGAAGGTAAACAAATACCAATGTTGGTGGACATTGGAGCCACTCACGTGTGTGAGTCCAAAGTATGCCAAGCACCTACCCATGTTGAACAGATTTGTTGAGACAGTAAGAATCTAATAAATCCTGTGTTGAAAGGTGACAAGTCCAAATATAGGTTGGTATGATTTAACAGTTATAAATGACAAAGTGAAAGACAAATTAAGGGTTAGAAAGTACCAGACCCTCACACGCTGCTCACCAGTGTGCCTCCAAATGCCAAATTTTTATAGTTGTTGATTTGTGTTCTGCATTCCTTTGCGTTCCTTTAGATTAATATTTCTATATTTATTTGCATTCACACACAGAGGAAAACAATACACCTACAGCAGATTTCCATGTTTTCATTTTAAGGTTTTCATACTCACCATATGGGTTCAATTGAGTTCTAAGACCAATTTGATGCAATGGTGACGTTAGAGCTTGTGACTACCCCAGAAAATATAATTTTAATCAAAAAGCTGCAACTAAAATGGCCAAAGTAAAAGTGGGGTGCAACAATGAGTGAACAAGGATTATGGAGGTCGAAAGATGGTCTGATAAGTGGCTCCAGTAACATTGTTGTCAATTCTGATTTCTGAGATGCACAGTGTAGGCCACTGGGCCAGGGGAGAGATGATGAAAAAGATTGGACAACAAAGGTACTGGTCACCCTATATGCAAGCAATGGTGGAAGAAGTGCTAAGCCAATGTGAAATATGTGAGAGAATACTTTAGGAGTAAAGTGAGAGAATAAATGGAACCCTCTAAGCTAAGCTAAACAAAATTTGGGTTGCTATTAAATTAAACTGGGTAAAAGCTTTGCCTATAGCACTTTTGTGCTATTGCACGTCAGCACTACAGTTAAGAGGCCCCTTTAAAGGACCTCTGCTTGAACAACTGGAAAAAGTCCAATGGAGAACCTGGAGCAGAAGGTGGAGTGGCCGGTGAAACCAGGAGACCTGGTGTACTAGGCCTGAGTTCAAAATATTTATTCGCCGATACTGAATCGATTCTCCATTCAATTCTCGAATATCGATTCGTACGTCATACAAATACACAATGTGTATTTAATTTATTTACGTAATATGTATGTCCTATATTTTAATTATACAATTCTGCTATATATATATAATACTGTGGAAAAGGTAATACAGTCTAGGGAGGGTTGATAACATTGTGGGGGAGGTTCGTAAAGGGTAAATATATATGTAAATAATATTATAAACTATCTTGCCTCTACTTCGTGGATTTTCCCTTTTTGTGGTGGGTCTTGGAAAGCAACTACCATGATAGGAGAGGGACCACTGTACTGCATATATACAGATAGAGCTGAATAGATGTAGATTAAAGGGAGTGCAGAATTATTAGGCAAATTAGTATTTTGACCACATCATCCTCTTTATGCATGTTGTCTTACTCCAAGCTGTATAGGCTCGAAAGCCCACTACCAATTAAGCATAGCAGGTGATGTGTATCTCTGTAATGAGAAAGGGTGTGGTCTAATGACATCAACACCCTATATCAGGTGTGCATAATTATTAGGCAACTTCATTTCCTTTGGCAAAATGGGTCAGAAGAGGGACTTGACAGGCTCAGAAAAGTCAAAAATAGTGAGATATCTTGCAGAGGGATGCAGCACTCTTAAAATTGCCAAGCTTCTAAAGCGTAATCATCGAACAATCAAGCGTTTCATTCAAAATAGTCAACAGGGTCGCAAGAAGCATGTGGAAAAACCAAGGCCCAAAATAACTGCCCATGAACTGAGAAAAGTCAAGAGTGCAGCTGCCAAGATGCCACTTGCCA